GAAGCAAGTAATGCATTTATAGCTTTATAAAGTTTTAATTTGGCAACAAAAACAAGGAATATAACGACAATGAGAAGAGCATAGTGACATCATAAAGTGAATGCGAAACACTAAACCTTAATGCTGACATAGGTAGAGAAGAAAGGACATTGATCGTAGCTGCAAATGATTGTAATGATACCATGATGCAGCTGTCTGGAAATGCAAGCTGATACGGATGACTGGTTCAAACTTCTTGTCATGGAATACAAGATAGATGGATGCTACCCTAAACTACTTATAATTATAATTGGAACATGATACACCCAGTATTATTAAAATTAAACTACTTATAATTATAATTGGTATATGCTACACCCAGTATTATTAAAATTGGCAGGGACCAAGTTCGCCTTCACGGGGATTGAACCAGCGTAATAGGCTAGTGAAGATCAATATGACCTCAGGACCAATACAGGCCTTTGTATAAATGTATAAGTTGATGACCAACTTAACTTTGATAACATTTAATACACCAATTTTTGTATGATCATTAAATTTATCTAATTCTTATAATAATATAATATATCTTCACTATTAGGCTTTTTTTTCTTCTTCTTTTGCTTTTTTTTTTTTTTTTTTTTTTTTTTTTTTTGTTTTACGGTGAAATCAACATTGCAATTTTACAAAATTGAATGAATAAAATTACAAAATTAAATATTGAAATACTAAAAATTATAGATTAAGTATTATAGAGATATAAAATATAATTTAACTTATTATTCATTTTTCATTTTTCAGAGACCATTTCATTATTCATATGTAAAAGGTAATTTATGATAATAATAAAGGTGATATATATATTACCTTTCAAGTATCATAAATTCTTAACTACTTTATTTTAATTATATTCTCCCATTTTTTATTCAATCTCTCGTGTTATTCTTATTTTATTATATTTATAATTTACAATAAAAGGTAGTTTTAAAATTATCTAATATTATATTCTCCTTTTTTGGTCGGTTGACAATAACTTCAATCCTATTATAATTGGCAACTCTTGACATTGCAATATAAAGTTAGTCACGAGAGAAAACAGAAATATGAAGATAAACACCAACATTTTTAAACAATTAGTCTTGATTGGTCTACATTGAAATTTGAATGAGATCTTATTAGTATTAATGACAATTTAGAAATATACACTTTCATTCCAACATTACTTCATGATATAACTTCTGCTTTAGGATAAATTTTCCATTTTTGTAATGATCAATCAAGTACCATTGCAAAAATCAGTTGATTGATTTATGTTTCTAAGTAACATAACAAATACTTCAACTTTAAGTTTGAAGATATGATTTGTTAATCCAAAAGCATCACTGATAACCAAACATTTTGAAATTTGAATATCTTCTAACCCATCAAAATATCAACTAACATATGACAGAATATCAACACTTAAATACTCGTTCTCATTTCTCGATGCTAATACTATCGTATCTTGAAAAAGTTTTGGATTATTGAATTTTTCCATGTAAGATGGATATGTTGAGTTTACAATGGATGCAATGGAGTTACCTTTGCTTTCTAAAAGCAAATCATGAGGAATCTATAAATCGATATCCACATCATTTGTTTCACCATATGTCCCATCACCTACTCCCAAAACAAAATAAGAAAAAATCTTTGGTATCCTTGACATCTAGAGTAGAAGTATCCACTAATAATCTCATATTGGTAAGTTAATTAATCACTTCACATAAATCTCACAAGTATGATGAATTAATTGTGACATTAACTACTTCTTATTGAGATAAATTTGCTATTACAAGAAGTATTTACATGAAATCTCCACTAAAAACAACAACTTTTCCATTGAATGAAATATATAAACTTGAAGAAATAGAGAATCGGAGAATATCTATTAAGGTTCTATCAACAACTTCAAAAATTATTTGGAGTCTCACGATTAGTAAAATAATTTTTTTTTTGGAATGAATAAATTTAAATTAAAAAATTAACTAATAATAGAATTAAAGTTTTTTTTTTAATTTATTATTTTCAAAATAATATATAAATATGTGTGTGTTAATCTTAATAAGATTAAAAAAATTAAAATATTAATATACTATGATAAAAATGAAATATTTATAATCATATTTATAATGTAATGAAAAAATGATGCAATATATATAAATTTATAATGTTTCCAATTAAATAATTTAAATTTATAATTGATTATAATTACTTAATACACGTGACATATCTTGATTTTTGTGAATGACTTTAATATGTCAATTATTAAAATTTTTTTTAGAACGAGTGCAACAATTAATATAAAAAAATCAATGTGTGGCTTAATTTTTGTAAATAAACATTCAATTTGGTATATTCAAGAATTTTTTTATAATATGTAAATAATTAATATGGAAAAAGTGAAGTTTTAGAATGTGTGAGCAATAATTATGGTAAAATGAGTAAACAATAAATATAGAAAAATGAATATGTCGATATTTTTTTTTGAGATTGAATAATAAAACAGAATCAGAAACTATCTTAAATTTAGTATTATTTGGATAAGATACAATATATCAAATCTTCCATTTTCCTTTTAAAAAAATACGATAGAAAAATACTAAAATAGATTAGCGATGATAGTGGATAGGGTCTTATAGTACATATCTCTATGCTCATGTTCTTGTATCCAATCTCGTATCGTGCAAGTAGCAATTTTAATTCCCATATCCACATTTGTAACCTGTATTTTATTTATATATAAAGTAAATAAATCAATAAAGAGATACTATTTTAAATAAGCAAACATAATATTAATTTGTCAGGCCTTTAACATTACAAAAATCTAATATAACAATTCTTATAAATAAAGAATACAAAACATTCAATTCTTGTAAACGAATTTTAAAAAAAATTTAACATAATAAAATATATAATTAAACTTCCGATATCATGATCATGTATTAACAATATTCTCCAAGACTTCTTACATAATTCAATAATACCAATATAAATTACATAACAAGAAAATGAATGATTAGAAAATTTAAATTAATAATTAAAACCAACAATAAAAAATAAAATAATTTTTATTTAATGAACAAAGTTTAATTACTTATTACCTTATTGTTTGTGTTTCAACTAACCTTGTGTACACATAAATGTCTCTAAAGTATATTTATGGAGCCTAGTTGAAGATTAAAAAATCTGCCTCCTGTACTAAATACAAATGTTAATATAATTTAAATAAATAAAATTATTATTAAATAATTATATTAATATATGTATAGAATTGTGGGGTGGGGCGGGTTGGATACCATGGAATTCGTATCCACATGCATACTTATTAAAATTTACTTGTCTGTCCTGTACCCATCTCCATATAAGTGGATATTTACCCGCTTTGCATGTAAGTATTTTTGTGAATGTCTATAAGTTTATGTCTATTTTGCCATCTCTAAAATAGATGTCATTTCTTTTGTACCAAAGAAAGACATTCACGGATCTAATTGTTATGAGATCCATGGAGTACTATGTCCATATTTCAATACAATAATGAGCATTAAACAATATCTCTGTTAATCAATAACAATATTTTCACGCAATTATTAAAATATATCTCTAAAATATCATATAACATTATCTCAAAATCTAGAAATAAGATTATATATGTACTATCTTGTATCATTTTACATCAATCTCATTCTTAATTAACTAAACTCCCTTCTGATATGTTTTATTCAACGAGTTTTCCTTAATTTAATGATGAAGTAAAAAATATATATAATTTTTAAGAGATTATAAAAACAATTTTAAAAGTTATTAGAACGAGTGTATCTACCATTCTTCCTAAAACATGTGTATAAAAGAAACATTGCTCTTCCAATATTACAGTTTACACTTTACAAACAAACTTTACTCACGTTACTTTCAACTTATGCTATGCGCAGCAGGCCCCAACATTGAACCCTGCACGACGTTTTTGCTTAATTCATCATCATCTTTGACCTTCAACAGTTGGGGTTTGGGGCCCTCTCATTCACTGTTTCTGCGGATCAGGCACTGCCACGTGTAATCCTCACATGCTGCCAAGTGGCGAGTAGAAATAATTGCTTCGATTCAACTTGCAAACAACACTGACCACATGTTCTCGCCATTTCTTGCCAATTCATTTCTATGGCCATGACTTGCCATTTCATTCTTTCACTCCTCAACTAATTATCGTATTCAGCAGCTTGCATGTGCACTGGGTCTTCTAACACTCAACCCTTAAATCTTACACTCAACCAACTGAAAATAGACGAGTTAGATTAATTTACTTTGTCATTCTAAAATTAAAATACACAAGCGTCGATTAATTTTAATTAAAAGATTTTGTAATTAAAAGAATTAATTACAAGTACATCTATATCTATTATAAAAAAAACAATGTTCTTATCGGAAATTGGCCGGAGGGACGATTTGCTGGGTAAGATTAGTGATTGTTAGGTACGTCGGCTGTTCTGAAGTGGAGCGATACTTGCAAAAAAGAGTTCGATGCTAAAATTAGTTTTTGATTGTAAGAGTGTCTCATATATATAGTGTACATATCTTGATGTGGAATTAGGGTTTCTTCTTTGACGAGGATAAGATTGATCTGGGTCTGAGATTGGCCGTTGCCCAATAAACATTAAGTCTTTACCTTAGTTGATGTCTTGTAACACTTATCTGATGTTGAGCGGTACTTAGCATCGAGCTTGAGCTCAGTGTTCAGCACGGATAGTATAAACATATTTTAGTAAATCTCTTTAATATAAAAAACAAAAATTATATTTTTTATAATTTTTAATATTTATTTATATATAATTATTAGAGACAAGAAATATTTAATTATTGTAAGTTAATATAATATTATTATTTAAAAAAAGTAGAATAATAAAATTAGAGTCTGATGTGACTCTTAACAATTTTGTTCCTATCTAATTCCAAATTTCCAAATATGTTGGTACCTACGTTTATGGCGGTCCACTTGGGGTCAGGGTCCCACTCCATTTCCTTTCTCGGTTGATTGGTGTCAACAAAATCAAACCAAATCCGGAGAAGAGGCGAAGACGAACGATGGGGTGGGTGGCGAATCGGTGGACCGGCGTCGCCGCCGCCATATGGATCCAGTGGAGCTGCGGCGCATCCTACACCTTCAGCATCTACTCCTCTGTGCTCAAGTCCACGCAGGGCTACGACCAATCCACCCTCGACACCGTCTCCGTCTTCAAGGACATCGGCGCCAACTTCGGCGTCCTCTCCGGCCTCCTCTACTCCGCCGTCACCCCCTACACGCGCCGCCACGACGTCCCCGGCTCCCCCTCCAAGTCCAAATGGACCTCTCTCGCCGGGCCCTGGGTCGTCCTCGCCGCTGGCGCCATCCAGTGCTTCGCGGGCTTCATCTTCATCTGGGCCGCCGTCGTGGGCCTCATAAGCCCGCCGCCCGTGCCCGTCATGTGCTTCTTCGCCTGGCTCGCCTCTAACGGCCAGACCTTCTTGAACACCACCAATGTCGTTACCGGCTTGCGCAATTTCCCCGAGTATAGCGGCACCATCATTGGTATCATGAAGGTAGCACAATACAGAAACAGGGTTAAATCAATATATGACATGCTCGCACGTGCAACCATGCTGGCTAATTTTTTATTTTTATTTTTTCCTAACCGTGTTTGCATGATTATCTGTGATTGATGATTTGATGAAAGTGTGGAAAGCTTTTACTGGCTGTGCATTCTAATTAAATTATGATTGAATTGGGAATTTGTTGTTCAGGGTTTTCTTGGACTGAGTGGAGCTATCTTGATCCAAATCTACCATACGTTTTTTGATGGGGACCCAGCAACGTACCTTTTGATGCTTGCTTTGTTGCCTCCGTTCATCTGTTTGTTGCTTATGTTCTTGCTGAGGATTTATGAAGTGCATGGCAGTGATTACAAGAAGCATTTGGATGGTTTTTCTGTGGTTACTGTAATTATAGTTGCCTATCTCATGTTCATAATAGTTTTACAGAACGTGGTTAGTTTTCCTTATTGGGGACGGATGTTTGCATTTGTAATCCTTATGGTTCTGTTAGCATCGCCTTTTGGAATTGCTTTCAAGGCCCATTGGGAGGAGTCACGAAAGTTTGCACAATCCTACACCATTGAGAGGGGTTCTTCTACAAATAAGGGTACTAGTTCGTCCAATTATTCTCCGCCCGTGGATGAAGTGGAATACCATGAGCTTCCTAGTGATGAGGGGCAAGTACAAGTGACTTCAGATGATGTTTTGCCCCGTGAGGAAGAGAAGAACATCTTGCAAGCTATGTGCACGGTTGATTTTTGGATGTTGTTTGTGACCATGATATCAGGGTTGGGCTCTGGGCTTGCAACAATTAATAATATGAGCCAAATAGGACAATCCCTTGGTTATAGTACCATTGAGATTAATAATATGGTGTCACTGTGGAGCATGTGGAACTTCCTTGGTCGTTTTGGAGGTGGTCATGTATCGGATTATATCATGCACAGAAAAGGTTGGCCGAGGCCTCTGTTGATGGCTGCAACTTTGGGGATAATGGTTCTTGGCCATTTAACTATAGCTTCTGGTTTCCGTGGAACTTTGTATGTGGGTCCTGTCCTGGTGGGCATCTGCTATGGTGCACATTGGTCCTTGATGCCCACAATCACTTCTGAGATATTTGGTGTAAAGCATATGGGTACCATTTTCAACACTGTTGCTGCAGCAAGTCCACTTGGATCTTATATACTTTCCGTGAGAGTTGTTGGATATATTTATGACAAGCAAGCGGACAAAGCCGATAATTCATGCTTTGGCAACGACTGTTTCATGTTGTCATTTTTTATCCTGGCAGGGGTGGCTTTTATTGCATTTTTGGTTGGTTTGGCACTATACTTCCGGACCCGAAGGTTCTATAAGCTAGTTGTGATTAGAAGATTAAAACATTATGCATGATGAAGATTGTCTTTGCCCACATTTCAACACAAGGTAAAGGCTGAGGAAACCAGTCTTGTTTTCTCTGTTCTGTTTGGCATAAATTTATTCAATGCAATTTTCTAGAGGTCATCTAAGAGTATGATTTGAATTATGTATTTTATTTTTTTATAAATGTACACAACATTAAAAATAATAAATTATTCCATTATTCAGTTATTATCACCAACTCACCATTGTGTTTGATTATGAGCATAGACTCCTACTTCTCAGAATGCATTTTTTTCCTTCTCAATTGATTGTTGATAGACCTTTGACTTGTATATAAGAGAAGGTTGGTAAGTGCCGGACCAAGGGAAATTATACGTGATTATAAGAGGAGAAATACAGATGGTGCTCGGAGTAAGGAGGAAACAGTAGTGTGAGAGTGTAATTAAATGTACACATGTCAGATATTGGAGAGGAGAACTGGGCAATGATGGGAAAGTAAAAGAAACATGAATAAGGAAAGGGTGGGAAATAGTGAGTGAAGGGGCATAACAGAATTTTTGAGTGAATTGGTAGCGTAGGACAGGCAGAGCAGACTCTTTATATAACATATAATTATAGTTATATCAGTTCCGATCGTTATCTCTTATTTCTGTTTTGTTTTTTTTTGTTTTTTTTTTGTTTTTTTGCATTTCTTTTATTCTAGTTTATACATTTTCCATATGTTGAGCAGTATCTTTCTCTTGTAAATGAGATTTCCCCCTTGAGTTCTATTATATTTTCAATATTAATACCAGTACCTATCAAGTTAGTATAAAAGTTCCCGATCCCAAGGAGCCTTTGGATGTTGGAGGGAAGCTTGACAGCTATTGAGCAGTATCTTTCTCTTGCAAATGAGATTTCCCCCTTGAGTTCTATTATATTTTCAATATTAATACCAGTACCTATCAAGTTAGTATCAAAGTTCCCGATCCCAAGGAGCCTTTGGATGTTGGAGGGGAGTTCGATAGCTATCAAAGTTCACGAAGTTGTACAATGCTAACTGTCAAGCCAGCTCGGTCAGCAACCTACAGGTGACTGACTGTTCGCTTGGCTTGCTCAGTTGTACGGTACACAGCCCTTCAGGCTCAAAAACAGGAATGCTAAAAGCTTATGCACTCGGCCTGCTCAATCGGATGTTGAGCTGAGACAGTACACAGTCCTCTAGGCTCCAAGAGCCTGTACACTCGGCTTGCTCGGTCAAAAGTTGAGTTGTACGGTACATGATTAAATTTGGAATTCTGCTAATGGAGAACATTGAGAGGGGAGATGAAAGTGGTAGTGGAGGTGGGGATCTGTGTGGGGCAGATCAAAACACCTGAGAATAGATTGTGGGTCAAGGTTATGTCTCAAGGAGCAACACCCCATCATGGGGGATGTGGAGTTGTTCAGTTCTGGTTAAACAGAAGTATTGAGCTCTGGTCACTTGCTTAGGCCAACAAACGTGAGAAGCATAGGAATGAGTCACCCGAAACAGGTGGTATCAATAGACAGTGCTAAGGTGGTAGGGTTGGTGGCATGAAGGCCAATGGCTTAAAAAGCAGTGCTGATGGTCGCTGAGAGAGAGGAGATCAAAGTAGTGTGATGGGTGTTGAAAGTTCGCATCTTTGGCCTTTTGGAGCACAAAATAGAGAAGGGAAGCACTCTATGAAGCAAAGACTCCAACACGAACATTGGATATGACATGGACATGGCTAATGTCCAAAGTGTAAGACAAGGAACACAACACATATATATGGATAGATAGATAGATATATAAGATTTACAATTTTTCTTAAAAGTTAAAACAACTAATAATTCTTTTGAAAATGAATCTCACATAGGATATAAAAGATGTTATGAGCCTTATGATATTTATAAATAAGTTAATTTTTATTTTATTTTTTATAATAAGCGTGTAAGGTAAGTGTTTAGTTAAGAAAAAATGTTAATTCATTCTCTTAGTCCGTGTCTACATCGTGTTGGAAAGATATTTAAGTTGTGTTAGAAAATTGTTTAAACAAAAAAAATAAATTTAAATGTGACGCAATGGAGAAGTGTCAATTATGTGTCAAGGCGTGTTTCACAGGTATCATATCCCTAAACGTGTCAAACGTGCTAACATAGCGTTTCATAAATGTGTCTTTGCTGGGGGGGGGGACAAATCATTTCACCCTGATGTGCAATTCCTTGAGGGAGAAGATGGATTATATAGTTGGATACTTCCTGGATCTTGAAGGCAGATGGGGCAGGTGAACCTACCCGTGTTAGTAGATCATTTTGCTGTCTTGCTACTCTTATCACAATTTGAATGAGATTCTGCTCTGACCCTTTTATTGTAATTATTATTTGTTATCATTCACTTCTGGATATGTTATGTGCTTGTTAGCGTTAGATATTTCTTGCTTCCTTGATTATAGATCAATCTAGCTAAAGCATCAATCACTCTGAATGTTAAGAACTTGTCCAATTAAAATCAATCGAAGAGGTTTTCTTGTGGTTGCAGCATGCTACTAGTCTGTACGTGGTGAAGTTTTTTAGCAGTGGAATGTAACAAGGAGGCACAATTCCATGATAAGCATTCCTTACAATTTATGGTTGATAAACTTGGGAAGGTTGTCAGACAGAAGAGGAAATCTCAAAGTACAAGCTTTGCATATTTAAACATTCCTTGAAATTTATGTATCACAAAGAAACCAGTATTGGTTTTTTAGGTTTGTATTTGTATCCTTGAGCAAGCTAGTTTGTAAGTGGTTGTTATTTTTTTATTTGTTTATAAGTCATGCATCATGATGATTAGTTTGCTCTGTATTTCATATATTCTTTTGCTGCAAACTTAAGAGGAATATACTCTGAAAAATCGCAAATTGTGACAGTAAATGGCAAAATAATTAAATAACGAGGTATCTCTATTGATTTATACCTTCTCATTAGGTTGACACTCGACACCATTGTCCTCGGAGAATGAGAGGTCTGCCTTAAAATTAAAATGCTGCTGGTTACAACCGTCGGCAATCCCATTAAACCTGCTGTTCTGAAGTTTGTGAAGCAGTATTTAGCATATGCAGCATGCATCTAATTATTATAGGATTTTGATCAAATAATTTGAAAAATAAAATGTTCTTACACCAATACTTTGTTTGTTTGTTTTTTTTTTCTTTTACACCACATTATCATTATCAAATAGCTTGGCTGAGATTACCATTCTTTCTCTATGATTCCTCATCTTACATGACAACTCGTGTACAGCAGTTATTTGCAACTATCATTTTGTTAGGAAATAATGGGGAAAAAAAAATACAATCTAGGCTGTGTAGATTAAAATTCTCGAAAAGCACAAAGGATAAAAATTAAGATAAAATAAATTATTTTTTCTCATAAATTTAAAATTAGCTGGTTAAGTCTCTTTATTCTTACTAGTTAGGATTTGGGATCGATTGAATCCAGTTTTTCTCATGTTTTATATCCTTTTATGTGGATTTATGTTAGAGACGAAATAAGTTATCTGTAATTTCGATAGAAATCTTCAAAGAGATTAGTAATTGACTTTGACTTTACATAAGATCGTGTCTTGCTCTAATCTAAACTTTTTGTAAAAAAAAAAAAGTTCATACAAAAAATAAAATAAACTTTTAAGGAGGTTAAATAAGAGAACTTTTACAAAATTAATTTTTTCATGAGCTAAATTTAATTTATTAGAAAAATTTTATTTAATGTTATTATTTTCTTCTATAAATACTTATTGCGAGATTTATAAGTAGAGTCCTACTCTCTCAATTTAGATACTTTGAAAGTGATAAAACCATTAAAAACAATAAATTTTCATACAATTTAGTAACATTAAAAGCAATATTTAATAAATTTTCATACAATTTAGTAACATTAAAAGCAATATTTAATAAATTTTCATACAATTTAGTAACATTAAAAGCAATATTTAATAAATTTTCATACAATTTAGTAACATTAAAAGCAATATTTTATTATAATTTTTTTGTTGACTAAAGTGATAATTGAAGTACACAATAAGGCTCATTCGATTTAGTAACTAGTCATTCATGAGTAACCATCCTCACGAATGAAGAAATATGAGGGGGAAAAAGTGTGCATTGTGATTCTGATTACAAAAAGTTAAAAATGGTTCAACAACTTTATTTTTTAACCTGTTTAGTTTGTATACCTATCTCTATCTTTTCCTATCTCACTATTCATCTATTATATTTATAATTTGTTTTCCTTCAAGGAAAACACATCCCAATTTATTTATTACATTTATGATTTGTTTTTCTTCAGAGATCTCATTAGAGTGTAAAAACATTTTTATTTATCTTAACTTTATTCTCTATTTTCTTATTTTTATTTATCTTAACCTTATTCTCTATTTTCTCTTTGTTTGATAGGTATAGGCAAATACATATATTAAGTATGGATTCCTTGATTAAAGAAGAACTTAGAAAATTAGAAGAAAAAAGTTTAAGTATAGTTTTTTAAGTGTTGTTTGTATTATTCTTCAATTAGAGTTGGAGTTTTATCTTGATAGTATGCATAAATGTATATTAATGAGACATTTATTAAATGCAAGTGTATAATATTGAGTTAAAACTCTAATCATAATTAAAAAAAATACCAGTCACACTTAAATAATTATCCATAAATTCTGTCTAAAATTAAAGTGAAAATAGTAGAAAATTCATACATTTCATTGTAATTTTAACCTCAAATATATAGGGTTAAGGTTTGTAGTCACACTAATTCTCTCTCTTTCTTCACTTTCTTTATACTTTATCAAACAAAGCATGAGACTGAGAAACAATTAATTATATACTAGTAAGGTATTGTGCTTTCGCATGGGTTTTATTCATTTAAATGCATATTTGTAATCAAAATGTAGTTATAAACATGGAATGCGTTATCAAAATGTATGTGTTGTTCCTTATAATCCTTTGTTGTTACGAAAGTACCAAGCCCATATAAACCTGAAATGGTGTAATCAAAGTACTTCAATCAAGTATTTATTCAAGTACATAAACAAAGGATGTGATCGAGTAATAGTTGTTATTGTCTCCAATGAAAGTGAAGGATCGATTTATGGTGAGACATTTGAGGAGATCAAGGAATATCTTGATTGTAGATATGTTTCTCCATGTGAAGCATGTTGGAGAATTTTTTCATTCCTATTCATAGCAAAAAACCATCAGTTGAAAGGTTATTTTTTCACCTTCCAGATGAGCAAGCCGTCTATTTCAATGATAATGATGCCATTCATGATGTTCTTTGCAAACAAAGTGTTACAAAATCAATGTTCACGTCTTGAATGGATGCAAATAAGAAGTTTCTTGAAGCAAAAAATTTGACATGTGGTCAATTTATATCCAAATTTGTCTATGTCAAAAGCAAAAGATTCCGGAAGCCACGAAAAAAAGGTCATACTATTGGAAGGCTTATGTGGGTGCCACCAAGTACTGGAGAGCTTCTTTATTTAAGGATGATGTTAACTATTGCAAAATGACCATCTTGTTATGGGGATATTAGAACAGTTGCCAGCATATAGTATACCACTTTCAAAGAAACGTGCTTTGCAATGGGGTTTCTTCATGATGATAAGGAATACATTGAAGCTATTAAAGAAGCCAAAGATTGAGGGTTAGAACACTATTTAAGGAAATTGTTCGCGACAATGCTTTGATCAAATAGCATTAACAAGCCAGAGAATGTATGGGAACAAACATGGCAATGGCTTTCTGATGGAATTCTCTATGAACAAAAAAGATTGTCCAATATGTAAGGTATAAATGTTTTAAATAACAATTTATATTCCTAGCTACTAAATTTTATTATAATTGTTATAGAACATAATTATTTTCTATACAAACTTGCAACTCATCAATGGGGAAGTCCAAAATTTAAAACTATTGGACATTGAAAAACTATTGCAATCAAATAGAAATAGCTTAAAGGATTATCAATCAATCTCATATCCAAATGGTTGTCATAACTCATTTGGAAAATAGGCTCATATATGTAGAACTTGACTATGATACAATTTTGCAAGTCCAATTTTGATCATACTTTGATTCTTACAGGTAATGTGTTTTACATTTATTTTAATCAAAATTACTTTAAATTTTAATTAAATTAAATTATTATTCATCTAATCAAGACCTCTTTTATTTATTATAAAAAAGACTTATATTTCACAAGATCATTCGGACAATAAATTGGCAATAAAGTAGGATATTTTTCTTATATGGTTATGGTGGCACTAGCAAAACTTTCATGTGGAACACATTAGCTTATGCATTACGATCTCAATGAAAAATTGTATTAACTATGGCTTCAAATGGAATAACATCTTTGTTGTTACTTGGAGGGGGAACAACACACTCTAAATTTAAGATTCCAATTCCAACACTTGATAACTTAGTTTGTAACATTCACCAAAGGAATGAACTTGCAAAGTTATTGAGATAAATCAAGTTGATTATATGGGATAAAGTGCCAACGATGCATAATTTTTTTTTGAAGCACTAGATAAAAGTCTAAGAGACATAATGAGAGTTGACAATACAATTGATTCAATCTTTGACAGGAAAGTCATTGTTTTGGAAGGAGATTTTAGGCAAATTTTATCGATGATTCTTAGGGAAAGTCGTTCAGATATAGTTCATGTAATAATTAACACATCTTACCTTTGGGGTCATTGTTAGGTATTAACCTTGACCAAAAACATGTGTTTACAAGGGGGATTAGAAAATACTAGTGAGTCAAAACTTAGAGATTTCTCACAATGGATACTAAAGTTGGAGATGACAAAATATTTGAGCCAAATGATGGTTATGTTGACATTGATATTCCATAAGAGTTCTTGATTACCAACTTTGATGACTCCATTAATGCTATTGTCCAAAGCCTATATCTTCAGGTAGTGGAACAATACAACAATGAATAATTTTTACAATCTAAAGTTATTTTGGCAACAACAATTGAAGTTGTTGACCAAATCAATGATTATGTGTTGTCCTTAATTTTAGGTATTTCTTTTATAGGTCTTCTAATGCTTCTTTTAGAACAAATTCCATTAATTTAACTTATTAGAGAATCTATTTTATTTTGTCGGCATTATTATAGCGGATGAAAAAGAATATCCAAGCTATTCTATTAAAAATTCATAATCATCCAAAAGTCAAACTTTTGATACACTTATTCCAAAATTTCTTAATTCTCCTAGAACATCTGATCTTCCAAATTATAAAATAAAATTGAAGATTGATACCCCAAAGATGCTATTAAAGAATTAGATCAATCAGAAGGGTTATATAATAGTACTTGCTTGGTTGTTACAAGACTAACAAATCATGTTATTGGAGAAAAGATCATGTATGGAAAGACAATCGAAAATATGATATATAAACCACATATGTCGATGTCTCCATCACAATCTCCTTGGCTTTTCAAGCTTATTAATTAGGAGACAATTTTCCATCATTGTCTCATATGCAATGACAATCATCAAATCCTAAAGCCAATCACTAGCAAATGTTGGTTTATACTTGTCTAGACTAGTATTTAGTCATGATCCTATGCGACAATTTCTAGAGTTCAAAGCAAATAAGGGTTAAAGATCTTGATTCATGACAAGGATTGAAAATCATTAAAAATTACTATTAACATTGTTTTCAAAGAGGTGTACCAAAACCTTTAGTAGATAGGTCTCTAACTAATTCATGCCATTTATTAATTTTACTATTTATTTTTCAACCAAAATTATCATATTGTTATGAAAGTTTTTTATATTTTTTTAAATATGTTTAGATCTAAATTTTTACTTAAAGTTTTCTTGACTCTAATTTATAAAGTACTACCATTCGTGTTATTTTCAAATGTTGGTGTTTTGTTTTTTAATGTGTAAATAGAAAAAGAGTAAGAGAGGTTTTATAAGAAAAGAAAAAAGAGAGGTGAGCTGAGTCAAAAAAAATGTTTCTGAAATGTTGACATGTGTACTTAAAATGTGAGAGTGCTTCTAACATGAAGAGTTGAGCACATGCCTCATTCATGAGGTAGTAAAATGGCCGATAATAGCAAGTTTTTCAATTTGTTTATAATTGCAAAATAGTTCTTATGTTATATGCAAAGGCATAGGGGAGGCGCGGTGGCGGCGAAGGTGTCGTCTCCTTCCACAGTGGTGGCAGGCAGCGGAGGCATGACCCCCTTCGCATAGTGGTAGCGGAGGCGCGAGCTCTTTCAGGCGGTGGCAGCAAAAGCGCGACCTTGTTTGCACGGTGGCAGCGGAGTTGAGGGCTCCTTCAAGTAGTGGCAGCGGAGGTGCCGTCTCCTTCCACGGTGGTGGCAGCAAAGGCGTGACCTTCTTCGCGCCTGGCTCGTCCTTGATGGCCTCGCCATCGCACTCACCCCGTCGTCTTTCTCGCCCTCACCACCGACGTCGTCTTCACTCCTCTCTACAACATCGCCACTGGCCTCCTCTTCGGCCTCCCCATGCCCGTCCAGCCCATGAAGTCCATCGCCGTCATCGCCACCGCCTTCCTCCTCCTCCTCGGTGCTACGGGCCTCACCGCTACCTCCCCCTCCCTGTCGTCCGCAGCGTTCAACTCTCCTAGGGCCTCTCTTTCGCCTTCTCTGCTGTCAACTACATCCGCTACGACCAAAACCTCACCACACCTCCAAATCTGGCTCGCCCTCGATAGCCTCGCCATCTCACTCGTCGCTGTCATCTTCCTCGTCCTCACCACCGATGCCAGCGACCACCCCCACCCTCACCACTACAAGAAAACTAAAACAGGGACTAATATGCAAAATACAAAAATATTATTTTTCAAGTTACCGATAATAAATATCAACCGTAAATTATTATAATATTAAATCTAATGGTCAAAAATAATATTTTACCCATGTATCACATTTTTTTGCAACTTCATGTTAGAATTTTTTAAAATGTGAGGTAGTTCCTATTCTTATACGATAAAAGACGGGAACAGGTGGGCGGTGAACAGTGTCCAAGTCCAGGTGTCGTCATGACCGGAAAGAACCTGAAATCATAAGTAGAAAAGAAAAGATGATAGCTCCATCGAGGGAGCCGAATGGAGTTTGCGAAGTCCAAGTGGGTATCGACGGTGGCGAGCATATGGATTCAGTGCACCAGCGGATCACTCTACACTTTCTCCATCTACTCCCAAACCCTCAAGTCAACGCAGCACTACGATCAGTCAACGCTCGACATCGTCTCCGTCTCAAAGGACATCGGAGCCAACGTGGGCGTCGTCTCTGGGCTGCTCTACGATTTCCTTGCGCGCCGCACAACCGCCACTGGGCCCTGGCTCGTCCACTTCTTGGGCTCGGCCCAATGCTTCCTCGGCTACTTCCTCATGTGGGCCGCCGTCTCCGCCCTCCTTCCGCCGCTGCCCGTGCCTTTCATGTGCCTCTTCATGTTTCTGGCGGCCCATGCTCAGAGCTACTTCAACACTTCCAACGTTGTCACTGGCGTCCACAATTTCCCTAACTATAGCGGAACCATCGTCGGCATTATGAAGGTTTTCTTTCTTCCTTTTTTTTAATTTTTTTTTTTTATCTTCGTGCTTGTGCTCTTTCGTGGTACATGATGATAAAAGTTAATTAAGTTAAACTATTCACTTCTTTATAGGATCAACCTGTGGATTATAAGTATAACAAATACAATTGGGGGATTAAAACAAAAGATACATGCTAAAATGTTAGAAGTGAAAATGTATAAATAATTTGAGAAAATATGCTGTGTGTGTAAAGTAGTTTTACATTTTCATTCGATCAAAATCATTATGGATGATAAATTTGTTAATGTTTTTAATAACAATTTTAAAAGTCATAGGTGATTTTTGATTATTTGCCTGTATAAAAGATTCAGTGAATGTGCATAGTCATTAAACTCAATCAATAAAACTATTTTTTAATGCACAAAACAATCCAAGTCCTCTGCTGCACTCTATGTAACGGTTGCACAATTACAAGTACTTTGTCTGTATCCAATGATAACATGCTGTAAGTATAAGGACACAACAGACTACCTAAATATGGCACTATTTTGGCGTACAAGTATCATGTGAGTTATTTTGGTAAGATACTGGGTCGTTTTCTAGTATATACGTAATTCTTGGTGTCTGGCATTTTGTTCAAGTTTGTCCATTGGGTTTTTTCCTCTTTATGACAGGGATTTCTTGGTCTCAGTGGAGCAATATTAATTCAAGTGTACCAAACAATATTCAACAACAAGCCTAAGTCATATCTTCTGATGCTAGCACTCTTACCACCTATCAATACTTTGCTGCTTATGTGGTTTGTAAGAATCCACAACACTCATGAGAGGGAGGAAAGGAAGTATCTGAACATATTTTCTTTGATGGCTCTGGTTGTTGCTGCATACCTTATGGTTGTTATAATCCTAGAAAACATCCTTAGTCTGCAATCATTGGTGCACATCTTTATATTTGTTGTGCTTATGATGTTACTAGCCTCACTTTCTTGCATTGCATTTGTAGCACATGAAAAGAGCTCTTCTAGAAATTCAGAAAGTTTTATGGATGAGGGGTCACGACTAATTGTGGAGCCAAGCCCCCTGCATACCACTGAAAAGGTGGATGCAAGGCAAGATTCTTTGAACAACCAAAGGAATAATTTGCAACTAGGAGAAAACCTGAATCTTTTACAAGCAATGCAAACTGTGAACTTTTGGATCATGTTTATTTCTACTGCATGTGGTATGGGATCAGGACTTGCAACTGTTAACAACTTGGGTCAAATAGGGGAATCCCTTGGTTATACCAGCCATGAGACAGGTTCCTTGGTTTCTTTATGGAGCATTTGGAATTTTCTGGGCCGCTTTGGAGCTGGTTATGTGTCGGATTATTATTTGCACACAAGAAGATGGGCAAGACCTTTATTTATGGTCATCACTTTAATGATCATGAGCATTGGCCATGTGGTGATTGCTTCTGGACTACCTGGTGCCCTATATGCAGGTTCCATATTGGTGGGTATTTGTTATGGCTCTCAATGGTCCCTAATGCCCACAATCACGTCTGAGATATTTGGTGTGGGAAATATGGGAAGCATCTTCAACACCATTTCCATAGCAAGTCCAGTGGGATCTTATATATTCTCTGTAAAAGTAGTTGGATATATATATGACAAAGAAGCATCTGAAGGAAACACATGCATTGGAGCTCATTGTTTTATGTTTTCATTTCTCATAATGGCATCTGCCACTATTCTGGGTTCTCTGACAGCTTTAGGTTTGTTTTTGCGGACAAAAAACTTCTATAGCCAGGTTATAGTCAGAAGAATTCAACTTATTCAGTGAAGTAAAGAGATCAGGTTATAATAAACTGTAAAGGAATAATGAATTTGTCAGTGTACAGTGATTTAGAAGTGATGTCTGTGCTTTTCTTTAGCTTTTGTGTGTGTGTGTGTGTCTGGACATGTCTATAATTCACTCTTTTATTCTTGTGATGTGACACACTACAATTTGTTGGAAATTGATGTGGATTATTTTTCACTGAGGCCATGTACATGTGATTAAATTTTTGCAGCAGCCTTAGAAAACTGTATTTGGGTGTGTTTATTGCTCCCAATAGTCTTACTTCATGATACATGACCCTTTTGATTCTACCTCTTGCCTTAACGGTTCATGTCTGTCTTATCGTTGTGTGAGAGGTTGTTCGATGTTAACAAATACTATGATTTACATTGTGCAGCTGTTAACATCTCTTGTTAGTGCCTTGGTATTGGCCAAGTGAGATGGTAGTACATGGGGTGAAGAAAAATCATTTCGAACATTCTTGGTACAAACATAAAAATGTGGAATGTTTATAGTAGAGTAAACGCATTTTCACTTTGGACCCATATTTTCTGGCAACTCCTCCCATAGCATGAATTGATAAATGAGGGTGGTTTAATCTTGACTATATTTTTCATATTTTTTTTCTTTCACATTCTTACTTTTCATTCACACCATGAAAGAGGATAGTAAAAAATTTCAATTTTATTTTCCACTGTCAAGCCCCACGGATTGAAACGTAAAGCCTTCGTAGCCTATATTTCCCTCTATTTTCAACCGTTTCTGCTATATTGATTGTGGGCTTATATCATAAACTGTTCATGTTTTAGTACTACTTGGTCCCGCTGACCACAAATGGCTTAACAGACACATATGGGGGAACAAAGCATACTAGTATTTCTATGAGAAACAGTTCAGTATCACTGTAGCAGCGCACTTCAGTTTTAACCCTCTTCCAGATCTGGCCCTTGCAAAATGAACAGAGCACCAATCATTATTTGCATTCCCAGATCAGCTTTGAAGTAGTAAGAATGCTAGTTGGAACTTTATTTCCCTCTCTCTGATGAACCGTTTAGGGAAAATATTAGTCTTTTGGAAAGAAAACTTTTCCTTTGGTTTTAGCTGAGCTGCCCTTTTTTCAAAAGGATTCACTATTGGAAACTCATGAGCCTTACATTCAAGTAGGATGGGGACCACCAAGAAGTGGTTCGAAGCTGAATACTGATTTAGCTCCCAGTAACCAGTGTTTATTCGAGACACAGGAACTCAAGGAATCATCAGTGGAGTGGACAATAATCTCTCTCTCTCTCTCTCTCTCTATATATATATATA